TGACGTGAATTTGTTAACTTGACAGCACTGCAAATTGTACTAAACACATTCAGCACAAAAATCAGGTGTTGCTTGTTTATCACGTCCCCGAGTCCTTAGGTCCCTGCTTCCCATGTCCCCAAGTCCCCACATCCCCAAGTCCCCACGTCCCAGTTCCCACATCCCCGTGCCGTGGAAGATCTGAGTTCAACATTACTACAGCTCTTCCTGACCCTCCTGTGAAATATCTGCAATTTCTTCAGCTATAAAAAAGACGAAATATTCTTAGTCACACGGGCTGGCTGTTTGAGGCAAGCTAAGTTCTCTGAAAATTGACGTTGGATACATTGAAAGTCTTGCGAATCTCGGAGTATTATACTTCCACAGAGTATAGAAACTTCACAGCTGGTATTTTCGATGATGAATAACGTTTGTCTATAAAGCCAGAGTAACTCTTTAACGAATAAAATTCTGAACAGGGCCCGTTGAAGTCTGGCTACACTTGATAGGTCCAAACTTGACGGCTACTGTCAGAACTTGTCAGCCACTGTCCATTGAGTGTTTAAGTACTTTTTGAAGTCTCATTAGTGTTCTGTTCCTCGATAATATCGTTATCAATAAAGTTCTGATCATTTTCAAACTCTTGATCATCGTTAATTTCTAATTGCTGGACGTTCGCGTGCAACACCTCGGTTGATTCGGAGCTGTTCAGTCTTGTGAGAAACGCATCGAGCAGCCTTCTGTTGAGATGATCTGTTTGTGTGATCTCTCTTGTTGGTGTCGCCTCCTTCGTTTCTGGGTTTTCCGTTCCACGCGTCTCTTGCTGAATTTTTTCTTCAGAATTTTCAGCAACGGCCTCCATGATCAAAAACAAGATGGCGGATTAATATGACTTTGTAACCACGCTTTCGGTCTAGACCCAAGCCTCCAACGAGAGTTCGTGTAAACTTGGGAAAGTTTTGACCAGTTTTTGTGAAATTTCCCTCCCACGTTCGACCAGTTTTCGAAAAATCTAGATTCAAAATAAACATACCGTGTGTTTAATCGGAGAACGAGAAGGAAGAGGTAAATGGCCAATAAAGTGCAAAAGCAAAGTGAATGCTATATTGACTAAAGCAGATTGCTTTCCTGTAACTTCTGCACGACTGATTTTTTACTAAAATTAGTAATTCTTTCAGTAAAAAACCACAGAGAACTAGATGAGTTTCGTTGTGTTTAATGACTTACTCTGACTACAAATAATTCAAAGCATCCACCAGGAGCCAAGAATACAGCATTGTTAACGCCTATTTTCAACAGTACATTTGTCATACACAGAAACAAAATACACAGATTTTCTAATGAAAAATATAAAATCCGTTCAACTTGTAAAAAAAACTTGTTACTGAAGATAGGGCTCTTTTTATTGAGCTTCTGAGGTGTTTTCATCTGCGCCAACAAAACGTATATTACTATTCCCGTTTTGTGGTAATTTGGGAATGTTCAGATAAGGACAGCCGGCAACGTTTACGTTTGACAAGTCGATCTGTCTTCCTGACGAGAGAAGAATGCTCTCGAGATGCTTACATTTGATTACAGACATCTCGGGTGGGTTCTTTACAACAGCACGTGACAAGAAGATGTTGCGCAGATTGTTGCATTCGCTGAAAGACACGTGCGCGATCCTGTCGGGTTTAACACGAAGCTCAGCGCATTGCAAATGATGGCAATTGTCAAGTACTAACTTGTCTATGGCTTTAGCTTCAACATCTAACCGTGGTATGGATTCGTCGCTCTCCATTTCACAGAGCTGTAGCCCAATTTTACCAATACGCCTCGCTTGAAGATGATAGCGCGAAAACTTACAGTTCGTGGTGCGGATGAATGATATAGTACCAGCAATGACTTCGAAGTCCAGGGCAGCCTTGCTGTCGTTTGGAGTCTCACCCATCGTTACACTTAAATGTTTGAGCTCCTCGCATTTCACCGCAATGGCAGTCGCATTGGGCAAATTTATCGACACGCGCTCGAGCTTCCGACTTCGGATGAAAATTGCGCATGTTGACCTGTCTTGAGGAAATCCACAGAACTCGTCTGCCGTGACTGGTCCTCGTCTGTACACATCACAGAGAAAATTTTCCAACGTAGGACAGTCAATCTTGATACTTCCTAGCCTGGGAGCTTGACACAGTAACAGATTCAACACTCTTAGTTGCGGACACATAGCTCCATACAGTGTAAGGCCCGTCAGTTCACCAATGATGGAGAGTTTTTTGATTGTTTGGTGCCCCTTTAAAAAATTACGCAATGTTGTAATGGGCATTGCAGGGCAAGCCACCAACTCCAGATGATTTAGTCGAGTTGAACTGGATTTCAGGTTATGAAAGTTTGAGAGATTTCGCAAACACATTGATTCCAATGACTTGGAATAGACAAACAAAGCAGTAAGATCAAAGCAGTTTGCGAGTTGAAATTCCTTCAAGGCTGGCGTATTACAACGCAAACATTGCATTCTTAGTGTCGAGAGTCCATCCAAACCGAGTGTAAGTAGGGACGCAGATTCGATGGACAGCAGGCTTTTCCGGTCACGGTGAACCATCCCAGCACCAACAAACAAATGACGGAGTGTCTTCATTAGCTTCAGCATGATACGCAAGTGGTCGCTTGTAAAAAACAGCGGGCAAGTTCTTAGCTCCAAACGCGTCACCACAGCAGCTAGACGCTGAGAGGAAGAAATTGTTTTCAAGCACATATCTCTGTTGTGAATAATATGCGGAGGTAGTGTTGGTACAAGACCAAACCCAGATAATTCGAGCTTTGTCAGGTTTACCTTGTCAAGAAACGCGATCAATGTGGAAGGCGGGAACGCAATCGAGTCCAGCGCAAGTTTCAAAACTTTGAGTTGAGGAAATCTAAGAATAACCATCTGGAGATGTTGAGGCGTAATGAAGTTTTTTTCCAACGTTTCCGGTTGTTGGAACAACCATTGGATTTCTGGAGGTTCGGAACGAAGGTATTCAGTGAGATTCAACTCTTCCAATACGCTTGCGCACTGCAGTGTTTGTAAGAATCGAGGATCCCATTCTAACAGTGGCACATCTAAGCAGGTTAAACTTGTCAAGCGAGAGAGCAGCTCTCGTAAAGATGGATCCGTGAAGGTTCTCGTTATTGGGTGATCTCTTAAGCACGTGACATAATGTCCAAACTTAAAGAGACAATGCCGAAGAGCATCTCTGTGCCTCGCGTATTCTGTAACGCATAACGGGTATGCCCGTGTAAAGTGGATACATTTCCAAAGAGACGGAGTATTTTCAATCACGTCCTTCCATCGTTTGCACACCATTGAAAGGCGGGCCAAATTATCGTACACTGGATGAAAAAACGCGAGAATTTGCGCCAACAGTTCATTTGGTAGGGCATCCATCGTTCAACTTTTTGATCACTGAAGACAGTAAGCTACAATACACCGCGTGCGTCGTACGTCATAATACATCGACTCATCCGCGAGAAAAACGCACGCGCAAAACCTTAGTTAAACCACAAACCGTAAAATCAGTGTTAATAAGTAACTTCAGAAATGAGATGACATTTTCAGTCAAGCACAAACGTGGCGACAAACATCTGTCCCCTTTTCAGTGTAACGGTAATTACAATCCGTTTGAATTTATATAGCATTCTTTTACAAAGTTCGTTATTTGCGTTATACTGCATTGCGTCAAGTAAGTTTGAATAGTAACGGAAGTAAAATATATAAAGAATAGCCTTCATTTGGCGCGAAAAAATATATATGTTATTTGCCAGCTGGGAGGTCCGTCTAGTGAAAAACTGTGACCGAGGTCTTGAAAATGCTGCCCGAGGCCGCAGACCGAGGGCAGCATTTTCAAGCCCGAGGTCACAGTTTTTCACTAGACGGACAGGCCCTAAGCCGGCAAATAACATATTTATGTTTTTTTCCTGCAGTAAATTGGTTTTACAGATATCTGTCAGTCGTTGCTATTAAAATCACTTGAAATCAGACTTTTCTACCCTAAATTGAATGGCAGAAAGCGAGGAAATTCGTTAAGTGTATTTCACCGAAATTCTTCTGAATACAGCAACGATATGATCAGAGAGGTATACTCGACCGAAATTGATTCAAATTTTACGGCGAGAGAAACATAGGATTACGCGCCATTACAGCGCCAAGCTACAAACAACCAAGCAAACTCTCACAACTTCAAAACACTCCATTGAATTTACTTACAATGAATTTCTTTGCCATTTTAATGTGAACAGAGATAACCTTACGTTGACTAATCGTGGATGGAAGTGTAAAAAAGGCAAAAGATTGACGATAACCGCTAACCGTTTTAGGAGCGAAATAATCGCCACAGCGGGGAAAAAATCCGGTCCGTGGGCCGTATCGTAAAAAGCTAGACCGGTCACGAGCGCATGATTAGCCGCTGAAATTCTAGGATTTAGGATTCCGGCCCACTCAGATGCTTAAGGAAAAAATAATCTCGGATATTCCCCCGTTTTAGCTGGGAAATATTCGGTCACGTGACGTGTTTAGACCAATCGCGCGTGAGCGAAAATATTTGATGGATTATAACGTTAATTATCTTGCAAATGTTTTCGCTCGCGCACGATTGGTCTAAACACGTCACGTGACTGAATATTCCCAACTAACTTGGGAATCCCCAATTCCAAAAGTGCCCGTGTTACGAAAAATATTCGAAGGATACTAAACACAATAGTCTCCATTTGGCGCGAAAATATGCTCGGATATTTGTCCTTGGACATTATCTGTTCCTCAAAGTTCATAGTTTTCCTCGAGCTACGCCCTCGGAAAACTGTTTGCTTCTCGGAGCAGATTATGTCCGTGGACGAATATCCAAACAAAGGCTAGCTGTTGTTTATCTAACCAGGTGTTAAGACTACCTCAAGGAAAGTAAAAGATTTTGGCCATTACATTTCTGATCAAATCAGGTTTTTCCCATTAATGTACGGTCTCTTAAAGTTTTATCCGCTATTTGGTAGCCACTGAGGGGATGGGGGGGGGGGAGGGGGGTTGGGGTTGCAAAACTGTTGGCTTGTTTCATCAATGCTGCATGCGCGCACTCTCAATGCCGCCTCTAACCAACACTTAGACAAATATGACTCTGGGTGGGTGGGGCAAAAGGATGAGTAAAAAATAATTGCTGCTTATTTGAAAGACTTTTCAAAGTAAAGAAAAATGGCGTTTTCCTTTTAGAAATATCTTTTTTCGTTTTAGAGATATTTACGTTTTTGTAAGGAAAGTGATGACGTCATAGATGGTTCCACTAAAACAGCACAACACTCAATCGAGAATAACTCTAGAAATATTAAGGCAGTGTTCTTTAAACTTGGCACAAGAAATGTACATCACAAAAGAAACATAATGACACCCGTCGCTCCATTACCATGACAACAGTTATGCTGCTGGTTCTGTTTTAATTAAGACTAAAATTCCCAGATTTTATCTTAAACAAGGATCATCCACTCCCACCAATCTAATGG